GTTTCGGTGCTTGATTTTATTTATTGTAAACTTAACCCGCGCGCCGGGGTAATATCCCTATGAAATATTGGCTCAATCCTGGTCCTGGTCGGCACTGATGAAATCTGCAATATTGCGCAGTCAGCATTCATTCATAGCTTTTGCAGAACAATTCTACTTTTATCTATTTTTGCTTTTTTTTGAATAAATTGTTGAACTGTCAATTTTGTGCCATATGAAACTGGACTCAGCAATTAGTAATACAACTTTACATCTAAAAATTTGATCACAAACTGAACATATTCTGAAGTTGTTGTGACTAATAACTCTTTAGTAAACAAACAGTCTATCTTTTAAATACCTGTAACAAAAAATGCAAAGCAAAAACCGAGCAAATATCATTGAAATAAATCCAAATTAATAAAAAATTTACATCAAAAAATTTGTAACTGAACAATAGAAGTAATAAGAGTTATCATTATTTTATTCTATGAAGCAATAAAAGTTTTTATAGAAGTGTCTATTTTAAAGACACTTCTTTTAATTTTGAATAACATTTATGTACATAACATTGAAAAGAGAAAAAAAATTATTAACTGGCAAGCCAGTTATACGTCTAAAGCTCATACGATCTTTTCAAATATTAGAATTATTTTTTAAATGTTAGAATTCCTAGAGTTTTAATGTTTGTCACAGTTATTTACAAGTGAAGCTTTTTACTGGCTTAAGGAGATGATGGCCTCGCCAGTCATCACTCCTATCGCCAGTAAAAACTCTTTTACCATCTGTTTAAGTAAAAAAAACGTTTAATTATTATTACCTCTTTTGGTTTACAACAATAAAACAACTTATTTCTTTTTAAAACAAAAAATTAAACAAGTTTTTGTAAAGCTGACACTTCCTTGTATTACTAACTAAGTTAGAGTCGTCGAACAGTAAATTAAGTTTGAGTATTTAAATCTTTAGAGACAGTTCTTTAGTAGCGACAATTGATAAACCTCGATTTTGACCTCAAATCAATTCAAACAAAACATTATTCATAATAAATATATTGTTTTCCTTATTGTTTTAATAATAACTAATTATGTTTCTAATTTTAAGTTAAATTATGCTGTGTACCTTCGGTATTAATATCTGTTAGCAGATAGTGTTTGCTAAACACAACATTAAAATAAACATTATTCAGTAACTTGCAGGAAATGATTAAGTGTTACGAAGACAAGTTAATTCCTATTGATATTGTTAAAAGTGGAAAAAAACAGTGTGTATTTCAGAAAACACATTTTTGACTGTAAAAAGTAATTAAAAGTGAAATAATACATTTCAGTCATCATAACAGAGTGATACGTGTGACACGCGTTAGTCACTGTTTTATTGAAAAGTTTATAATGAAGTTGTGAAGGTTTTATAACATGTTCATTTCCCAACCATTGTTCGAAGTAAATATTTTGAGAATACTTTTGTTGATGCTTCCTATTAAAGTATTAATAATTAGGTACATTTTTATTTAGGAAAGAATTTTGATGTAGAGATAAAATTTTGTAATGCAAAGCCTTGCAGTGTAGGAAATTAATTAAGATCTACAGTGCAATTGTGTGTACTGCACCTCCTGTAAAGCTCATTTTCAGCGACTTTAACTTAGTGCATAATATACCGATTGTTCCTTGCAATTTACAAACTGGCATCATTAACACGGTGGTAAACAAAACTGTCCTTGTGGATTCAGCGATAGAATTGTAGGAATAATACACCAAGGAAATTTCTTTTGTGAAAAAAGGGATTTTATAGCTCAGTCTCTTGAAATAATTTTCTGTGGCTTAGGGATTGTTCAGATTCTTTGTGCGGTAAAATACAATATTTCAGGTTCTTGGGCCAAGCGAGGCCATATATTTAAGGGCAATTTATCTCGACATAACAGAATAATTGATATGTGACCGAGAAATAATATATTGATTGAAGGATATCGTTGACAGGAGGCATGAGGCATGAGACCTGTGAGGATGCAGGAGTGCAAAAGGAGAGGCCATCAGTTTAGAGGGGTTTACCCGTCAAGTGTCAGGATATGACTGATGATAGTCGACAGCTCCCAGCAGGCTGAACGACATAAAGGACAACGGTAAACGGACTATTGTCATGTCTTTTATCCTTGCCGAATTTAAGTCAAAATAAATGGCTTGTGCTTCACACAAAAGCCATATTGATTTATATATCAGTATATCGGTCGCAATTTTACAAGTAAAACCTACTTTAATTGTTTCGTAATTGTTGAGACGTTAATTGATGTATTGCAAGCCGAGCCAAAATTCTAATTTCAGCAAAGATTTATTAGAAAAGCCTAAGAGGGGGTTTTGTGAAATTTTATATTTCGGCCTTAATAATGTCAAATGTTAAACAAAGGCCGTCATTACATTCACATTAAGTGGCGCGTAATCTCCGAAAGTGTGTAAAGCTCAGCGCTTTTTATGATAGTTAATTTAAAAGCGGGCCTCATAAAGGGTATGATTTGTGTATTCATAAATACAATAAGTAACGGAAGGGACAGGATAAAGTGTCCTTTTATAATGGCGGTAATCCACACACATATCCTGTTTGCATGTTTACAGTGCCCCGAAGCTGTTCCATTCCACTTACTTACATATACTTTCTGACTCGTCGTCGAATCGATCTTCGGGGAGAAATGCGATCGTTCATAACAAAAATGAAACTTTAGGACTGAAGCAAATTAACATCAACTCCAAAAGTAAAAACCGGCAAAAATACGGCCCTTGCTATAAATTTCTCAAGGAAACCTGAAGGTGATAAACTAATGTAACAGAGTGTATTTTTTGCTCTGGCAGGTCCGCTGTAAAACTTTAATCTTTCAGTTTCCGGTGGATGGCGGCAACATATGTCGAGCATGACGTTATGAAATAATTACACAATAAATCACTGCACTGGACGCAATAACAGGAGCTATTTTTAAATAACATTTCCGTGATTTTTGAAGCGTTTCTTGCGGCCGCTTTATCCCAAATTAATTTTTTTGTCGAATTAAGTGGAAAAGTATAAAACTCGGTAAAAAGGGGTCGGCGGATCAACTGTTGTCAAGGAAAAACTTGCAGCCACTTCAACTGTCAACTAAAACTCGAGTCTTTGCTTTTCTCTTCCCTAAATAAGCCCAGATTAAAGTAAAGTTGTGCGCTATCCATCTTGTTGTAATGTTGGAATGACATCTTGCCATTACAAATAAGAAAAAACGCTGTTTTTATTTGTTCTCTGCGATTTAGAAAGCATTTCACACAACGACTATTTTATATAAATCTAGAAATGAAATTCGATTCGCTGTAAAAAGGATTGTCTAAAAATTTCATAGAAAGTCGTTTAAAATCGGATCTTGAAATAACACACACGCGCACGCTTGCTAATCCGCCTCTTAAAGTATCAAATTTATAAGGAAATTCAAGGGCGAAACAATTTTTTACAAATATGTCACAAGACATTTTTTTCTTTTGTTCGTCCATACTTGGACACCGATTTATCAAGTTCAGAAGTGTCAACGAATTTTATTGTCTCTCCACGTTTCCCAGGGATCGTAAAGGAAATACTCATTTTTCGTAAAATTTCAAACTGATTTATTATTTCTTATTTTAAAGACAAGCTGCTCTACACGCTACAAGAAAGCGGCGAGTTTTCAATTAAAGTTCGTCAGACATTTTGTAAATTTCGTTTTTCCAAGTTAATAAAATTAATTTATAAAAGAATGCATTCACAACTAAATAAATGCTAATCGTTTATAAATCAAAGTCTGTATTTTGTTATTCTAAGACGACAACAACTTAAAAACCAATACAAAGATGACGCAAAATGTTAACATTCCACATGACTGAACTTAGCTCAACTAAAATTTCTAAGTTTCCGATATCGCATTTCACCTCCACTTCTACAGGCAATGATAACTATACAGTTTGAAACTTTGTGGTATGTTTGCAACACAATTATAATTGTATTTTTAATAGTGATACTTTACAGGAAGCTCACGTCGATAATAAAGTAGATATCATTTTAGGTAAAGTAAGTTACTTACATAGAAAATGATTAACAACATTTTCAAAATATAATTACAAGCTAAGACACCACTAAGAAAACAGTCTCATCTTGAACAGATCTATAAAGAGTAGCAGAGATAATGTAAGAAGATTCCAAGTAACATGACAACACGTAATTTTAGGGGACATTCAATAAGAGTGCTAATACCCAACTTATAAATAGACCAATGGATTTGCTCTCTATAGTTCTGTCTCGCACGGTCTCCTGATGAATGGATGCAATCACCAACAAAACGTCAAGTGCTCTATCTTTTTTGTTTTCTTTCCTTTTCCTCTTAGCTATAGCCACAAGTTCTTACCGATTTTTTTATGCTTTTTGCTGATTCGCTTTACTTTAATTTTAATTTGTTACAAATCGTTTTTCTTTCAAAAAAAACTTTTACATTGAATACAAAAATCAAAGAAATACCATTGAAATTTATTTGTTATCACCCTTTAGTTACAAAACGAGTCATTTTTATTAACTGAAGAGTTGTAAATTAATATACATACCTAATTTTCTCTACTGTGCTAGCATGAATGATTGAAAATATAGAAATTTTGGCTGAAAGTTGTAATCAAAGCTTTTGTTTTACATTGTCGCATATTTTGCATATTTTTTCGGGTAATTGATCGATTCTCTGCCCATTAGGTTAACCAAATACAAGCACTAATTACTGTCTGTATTGAATTTATCAAAGCGGTTGACGTGGCAGTTTATTTATAAATGCGGAAATCTTGTGAAAAATTTAGTAGAGACGAAGCACATGAGATAAAATATGCATGGAATTTTAAGTCTCGCATTACAAATGACTGAAGTTTACCGAGATTGCTAATGCCATTACTTGCATCTGGCTCATCTCAATCTTGCTTTGAGATTGGATTATGCTTCACCTTGAAACGATGTGATTCGGCATTTGTATGTTAATTATAAGAATCGAATGCAAATCTACTTACATCAACGTTGAGGTGCGACATGACGAAGACCCTTGACGGCGGCGACTCCTTGGGCACATACCTGTAGAACTCAGAGTCGTAACGGTACCATTTGATGGTGTAGAGCGCCGCCGCCTCCAGGTCGTAATCGCAAGCCAGTGTCACGGAATCTCCGACTCTTACAGCTTCCGGCACTTTGATGTACATGTCCTTCAGGGCTCGCACGTCTGAAACAATGTATTTGTCCCATAAATACGCCACAGAAGACAATGGAATTGTTTTTTGAAACGCTACAATGTATCACTATTTATCGAGTTATTTGTTCTCCTTTTTAAACGCGTCCAATAAATTCCGACGTAATTAAATTTAAGTGCACTTAAGAGATACAATCTCGTTGTAAATAAATGGTGACATAAACGGAAAACAAAGGGTTGAGGTCGCAAGAACATGTTATATAAGTTTCTATTACACTTTAAGACATTATAAATTCCCCTCTTATCCGGTGACTGGATATCCGCCCCCGGAGACGCAAAGAACACGAACGTTTATAAGATTTTTTTTGTATTTTGTCCCATGCATTCCCTTAATAGTCTTTAAGGGACTTTGGTTTTATGTGTTATGCTCGGAAAAATCAAGAAATGCTCGATAACTGTTCAATTATTTATTCTTTTTTAATAATTAAAAAGGTATCCAATTTTTTTCATATTTTTTTCATCTAGACATCAATAATTCTGTGTCATATGTTTAGAAATCTCAGAAAACACATTTAAAGAAAAAGTATTGAAATCATAAATGTATTTTGTTCTATTTTTTAACAATAATTATAGCTTCAATTAATATATGTACAATAAGATCTGTACGACAAAATTGGAAAATCTAGATTAGTGGTTGCAATTAAAAAAGCTTAAACTGGGCAGACAATTTGATAAATTTTACCCTAAATCATAATTCTGGAGTCGTACTCCGTCCTGTTATTATCATAATAATTATTAGAACTTGTTTTGATATTCTACAACTACTAAATAAAAAACCCTTTGCATAAATTTTGAAGTATTTTAAATAATAGTTGAAGATTTCATATATTCATGACTTTGTCGGGTAGTTACTTAACATAAAACAAATTTACAGTTCTAGTATAAGGAGTGTGTCGGCAAAAATTTACTATACACTTGATATCAACCCATATGAACGACAAAAGTTTACAAAATAATAAATTATAACATTGGTCAATAATTTGCTCATTTATTAATTATTAAATTCAAGCTTTAAAAGAAATCATTTTATTTGGATAAAGTAAAAAGAGGCCATATTCATTGCCAATTTTTAGGACAGTACAGACATTTGAATCCAAATAAATCATTTTTATGATAAAAATTTATAGTTTCAAAACTCCAAGAAAATTTAGTGATTACCAAATATCTGTAGTAAAAATCTGCTGAAAAATTTAATAAATATTTTCTATGAATCAAAATTTCTAGATAAATAACAAAACTTAGGTATTTATTTAATGTTTCCTCAATAAGCATTGGAATTTTAACTGGAAATGCAAGCGTCGATATTATTATAATTGAGACTTAACGTGACTGTGCAATGAATATTAAATAACACTAATGGTGTTAAGTGTTAAAACCCTGTCAGTTATTCAAGACCAATAACAGCATTATAATAGTATTTGTTAAACTTTTACAATAATACCTACATGAAATGGAATGCCATTATCTCGATTCGTAATCCTCGTGATAATTAAAATGCACGGAATTGTGCCAGAATTAAAATAATACAGTGATAAATATGAGAGGAAATTACATTTCTTGCGCAACAATACCATCCGAGCTGCTGGCAATAGAGTGCGAATTATCTAGCAGTGATTACAAGTGAACAACACATAAAACCCAGGTTTAATGACATTTTCGCAACAGCCTGCGCTACTATAAAGTATCTGTTAATTTCTAGACAGAAGCTTTGCAAAGACACGTTTGCTATCCTTTTCACTTGCACAACATTTTAATGAATTCTTCAATTAAGCTCTGTCTTTTTGTGCTAGCACCCACCATTCCCTTTGGCTAATTATTTTATATGCAAGTGTTACTTTAAAACGAACCTCGATTCCAGCCCAAACGGTAGACAAAATTCTCGGCATTATTCTGCACTTACACAAACACGCACCTGAATCGTTTGAGTTAGGTAACAACATTCCTCGAGATGATGTTAAATTCTTGTAAGATCAATATCTGCTCTGACATTTAGGTCCAGGACAGGATGAGCATCTTTTTGGTATACAGGTTTCTCCGGATATTTCTAAACTATCCCTGAACTGTTTAACTATGTGGTAAGAGCAGAAATCAGTTCTCTAGTATAGATTTCTGGTGGTGTAATTGTTGTTGATAAGCGTTTAAAATTTAACAGATGAAATGGCAAGAACTCTAACTCTGATTAATTACTTTCTTGGTTAAGACCCGTTCTTTTAATGAAATTTTTTATAAATAATTTTGGTAAAAGCTGTTTACTTGAGCTTTTTGCAAATAGCCCGAAATCGAGATTTACTTTAACTCATTAAAGGCCAATCGACCCTTTAAGAGACAATTTAATCAGTGATCTGTTACACCCACCAGAAAACAAACAAAATTTCCATTCTATTTACCGCAAATCGGTTCCTTTATTGAAGGGTAACTCGTTTAGATGCTGATGAAATTTACTCCAACTAGCCGCAGTGTTTACTACAGGACCACATTTTTTAGTGTGCCAGAAGCCAGAAGGTGCAAAATGAAACGTCGAAATTTCTTTTAAACTAATGGAAGGGCGGAGTCGCCCGTTTTCATTATAAAATCAATTTGGCTTGTTTTTTATCTGATAATTAAATTTCGAGGCTCTGAAATTTGTCAGTTTTCTTCAACGATCATTAAATATTTGCACCGAAACAGGAAGGGTTTAAAACCCTTTCTTCTACCAGCCACATATTTGCTCCAGACAATATTCAAATATTTTTTTAATGACTTTAGCAAGAGAAACGAACTAAAATAACTTATTTTGATATAGAGAATGCTTCATGTAGCAAAAATAAAACTAAACACTAATAATATGTACTAATAAATGGTGGCTAGTACGGCCCTGAATGAAAATAATTTTCGAAAACGTGACTTTTTCAAACATTAGAGACGCGTGGGTGCAAGATTAAAACACAAGCAAAGTGAATGAACAGTTTTTGCTAAATGGCGACATTATACAAGAAGATATTACAGACATTACCAGCATGTCGTAGGCCAGACAATGTGCCTCGACAGGTAACACCTGTGCATAATGGCATAGGAGGACGCACAACCTTATCGACATCACTTTAACAATGAAAGCACATTTGCTTGCGCCACTAAAACAGAAAAAATCTGCAACTTAATCAGGACAAAGAAGTAAAAACGTTACGGCAAAATTAACAGTCCGGAATAACGGAAAGTTAAATAAATAGCGTAATCTAGAAGAAGTCGTCAAGTATAAAAATAAAAGAGCTTCTAATATTAAACTGGATTCTAAATAATCCAAAGTTGGTTGTGTGTGTTATTAATCCTGTTTGAAGAGTTTGTAGCGCTAAGAGCTTCAGCACTTGATCGTTAATCACGGAATATTTTACCGGTTAACGAGGACAACGAAACATTTTTAATCCAATGCTGGTCGTTAAGACTAACGAGTTGAAGTAAATAAACGCACTATTCTTGCAGTGAAACCCGAAGGCCCTCTGAGATTTCATTTCGTTAAAAGCTGATGGGTTTATTTCTTTATCGAATTCGGACGACTCTCCTTAACCCAAATTTATTCGTTTTGTTGCAGAATGTCGGATTTACAATCCAGTTGGTCCGTGTGCAAGTTTGTCTCGCCCGGGTCAACAATCAATTGATAAAAGTTAAGAAGTAGTTGCAATAAAATTTCAATATCAGTGAAACCGTTTTGGAAAGTTTTTATGGTGTATATTATAGAGGGGGTGAAAAACAGATTGACGACATTTCGGTTTAGTGGTTTATGAGCCCGGCTTCTGCAGCACTTTCGGTAATTTGAGCCACCAGAGACAAACTCCGCCATGAGCGTAAAACATTTCCATGATTAGAAACAATTTTCCACAATAAAACTTCACCCTCGCAAAAAGGAAAGTTTTATGTACAATCTTACATAATTTTTCTCCCAGTCCTTGCAGAATTGTGTTACTGAATCTTCTACTTTGTTGCTGAAATCAATCACCCTTTTTGTCAGGGGAACATTAAATTTATTTTCGCCTGCATTAAATTAGACTATAGATTTTTCGATGAAATCTGAGGAAATATTGTTATGTTTAACTCGGCGAAAGCGTGTAAACAATTTAGAGAATTTTTAATAAAACATTCTTTTTAGTGCTGTTGAGCGTAATGGGAAAATTTGCCAACATCGGTTTACACTGGATTTAATTATAATTCGAGTCTCTGTACACATAAATCAAGACCAAAAATGTTTGTAATTACTTGCTAGCTATTATTAAAAATTTTTATGGAAAAACCGCATTCGGCCCCGACCCTCGTCGGACTATAAAATATCTCGTTACAAGAAGTTAAGTAAAACTTTTGCCGCGGTGTGCTGAAAAAGTGAAACTTTGTAGTGATTCATCCATTAGCCTTATTTGTCGATTACTAATAATAAATGATTGATAGTCCAACGCCTGCCTATATTGAAAGCTTGAAATATCCTTTTTTGGCAACAAAAAGAATGAGCTGCTGCCCCAGTACACGTTCGACATCTCTTTCCGTTCTCCACAAACTGCAACCATTATCTTTGTCACTTAAAGTAATCCTCTGGACCAATAATGATATTAAACCGGAAGGTGATTTTTAGCTCTCATTATAATCAGTAATCATTCACCTTATTCATCTCGTTTTGTTATTTATTTAATTGTTTTTAGACATTTAAATTAACTCCAATTTTTAAGTAAACAGCCAAAGTAAATTGAATTTAAATTTCTTTAATTTTTAGTGAATTAAAAAATTGTGAAGTAAAAAAAATATTTTGAAACAAACTGTATTGAATGTTTTCAATTAGCAAAAAAATAAAGAACATTTATGCGTGAATTGTAAATAATTACTTGTTTATCTATTTTTAGTGACAAAGTTTACAAAGTTTGATGATTCGGTGCACGTTGCTTCATTTGGCGCTGTTCTCAATTTGTGTTGTTCTGGCTGAATCCACCATTTGATTAGTCTAATTTTTTAATTTA